ATGCTGGCTGGGGAATTCTGGGAGTTGAAGTCCATCCCTCTTAACGTTGCTGAGGTTGAGAAACACTAGTCTAGAAAGCTTATTCTCTGGAGAAATGTCCCTGCAGAAGTCCCAGTGGCCTGTAGGATTTGCAGTCTAATCACTCTGACTAATCGAAAAATTTAACAGGGCTGGATGAGAGGCGGGTGGGAAATCCCAGGACTCTTAAGCTAGATTTGGGAAATCCAGACAACAACAACAAAACAATTACTTTTCCATTGCTGCCAAGAAAGCTGCATGGCCTTTCCAAGAAGTCACCCCAATTCAAGGGAGTCTTTAACGTTATGACTTCTATATGCTTACTCAGGACTTAAGAGGGACTGATTTTAAAGTGGCTTACTTCCTAGTAAGTGTGCCAAGTGTACCTAGGGTTACACTTAGGACCTTTAGGACTCATTTTTGCCAGTGGCATTTTCAACACTATGTCCAGATCCTTTACAGGAAAGGAGGGGCAACTGGTCAAGCCTGTGGAGGGCAGAGTTCCATCCAAAAGATGCTTCAGTGTTTGAAATTATCAGATGTATTTTTTTGCTCAAGGCAATAAAACTAGTAAATTAACATAAGCCCCCAAACTGTTTCAATACTTTCCATTTTCCCACACGCACCTGCTTACTGGACTGCTAATTTCACTGGAGAAGAAAACAGTGTTCAAAACATTATGTTGCTGCAGATGCGGTGAGAAGAAAAGCAGCGAGACTGCTCTGCTTTTGGGCCCTTATAGTGTTAAAAATTCTGCACTAAATCCCACTGAGTTCACTGAGATTTATTTCTAGGTAAATCAGTATTAGATTACAAATCTAATGTATAGTTTCAGTTCCATCATATGTTGTCGGTGATGCAGGCATGTGCTCAATTGAATTATTTTGAAATTCCATTTTGGAGATGCATTTCAAGTGCAATCACTTCATCTCACTCTGGAAAGTTGACATCCTTTCAGATGAAGCTTTTATCGTTCAATGTATTGTCTGTTGACTTTGGTTATATACTATTCCATTTCCAGACACTTAGGTTGCAACAGAAACAGTTGTGTCCCCAGATGTTGTGATTCTTCATCTGTGAACTTCTAGAGGAAGGTCAGACAACTGCACAATCTCTTCTGACTGGTAGGATTAAAAGCAGTCTGGAAGCACCCTCACTGACCTGATCCTAAGACATAATATGATTTGTTTTGTTTTGGATTGGTGCCTTGTATAAATTTGGCACATTTGTCCAGTTTCATCTAACCATGGCACAAGCATACCCTGGCAACTTACCATTTCTGACATGTTCTCATGATGTCACTTTCATCCCAACCTAATCTTAGTAGTCTGTATACATTCTGTTTTTAAAATAGTGTTTTTCTGCATAAGTAGGTAGCAAGTCACAACAGCTTTTACTATGGGTACAGTCTGACATACCTCACTGATCTTTTGGTTGGTGGTACTGTCAGTTGACTCCTAGAGGTGGGATAGCCCAGCATCTATTGTCCATTTTAGCCCAGTGCAGGCATGCCCAGTCCCCTCTGATTTCTGGACACTGTCTCCATGGGGCAGTGGGGGGGGGGAGTCCATTTTTTAAAAAACTAGGCTCTCCCCATTTACTTGCAAACTCTCTGAGCCAGTCTTGAAAATTCTGAATAGCCATGACCAGCAATGCTGGTAGGGGACTGAGCACTGAAGCAAGAGAGAGAATCAGCTTTCTTTCTGCCACTTTAGGGCTCAACACATACACCCTGCCAAACAGCTGTTGTCAGAATGCTTTCAAATACAGGCTTAGCACTAAACCCATGTTCAAAAGGAACCAGAACAACAGCTGACAGACATCAGGTGCTCTTTCTCTCCCACTTACCATGCATCCTCATACCCGTCAGCTATTATTTGCTCTTCTTTTAAACATGAGTTTAATGCTATTTCAGAAGAGCACCAAACCCATGTTAAAAAATTACTTAACAGCTGACAGTCATGGAGGAATATTGCATAGTTCACTGGGAGGCACACAACATTACCTACACTCCAACCCTTGTAACTATCAGCTGTATGGAGGCATGCGGGGATGCAAAAGGCACAACCTTATATTATTTATTTATTTATTTGCACAATGTATTAGCCACCCATCTCATTTTTTCCAAGTGACTCTGAGCGGCATACAACAGGGTTAAAAAACAATAAATACATTTAAAAAGTATGAAGCAAAACTAAAACAAAAAATAATAAGCAAAGATGTTAAAAATAAAAATAGACTGTCAGCTGTTAATAGAATAGCTATCATCACAATGTGTACCCTGTACCTATCAGCGTTAGGAGACTAACATGTTGGAAGGTTGTGTGGTGTGGTGGGTCTCTCTGCTGCATTCTGCAATCCTCAGCTCTTTCAACTTGCCACCTTGCCAGGCCTAGGGAACAAATCACCTACTGGGGAGAAATGGCAGGAGGGCCAAATGTTTACCTATCAGACTTCTATTCCAGTGGATGATTTTGTAGGATTGGAGACTTAGGGATTTTGAGGGAGCCAGTTAGTCCCCCCTATTCTGCCTCTTCTCCCAGTTTGGGGTTCAAAGGCTAGAAGCTTGTTTTGACAGGTGGTTAAAACTGCAGGTTTAGCCATTGGTCAAAACTTGCCTCTTCTCCATCCCCATTCCATGGTAAGACAAGTGTTTGGTAGATGTTTTCCTGCTTGATGGTGAAGTTTGTTGAGTGGACAGGCAAGTCAAGCCAAGGGCATCCATGTATCCCTTTTCTTAAACTTCCCTGCACACAGTAAATAAGGATACCGCCACTTGTGCTTAATTGCCCCATTTCACTTGTCATTTTGTTTCACATACTATAGTTTCAAAACTATGTTACTTAAATATTTTTCCTACTAAGACCTAATGTGGGGTTGAAATACTGGGAAATATACACCGTCAATCTGTTCAAAGTAATGCCTATATTATCTTAGTATTTACAACAGGTTCTGCATGGGTTTCTTTTCTTTATTAAGCAGCAAAAGTAAAAGACTCAAATAAACATTTATTTAGGTACTGTGTTTTATCTCAAAGGCTTCCAAAGTAATATAAATACTCCTTTTATTAATACTTCCTTCCACCACAGTGTAAAGCTTATGTGAAGGTCTTTTGGCTTTGATTATCCCATGTTTTGACAGCTACTACCTGTGTTTGCATAATATACTGAACCATAAACCTGCCAATTGTAATTTGGCATAGTATGGATCCTGCATGGTTATAGTTCAGCTTATCGTGCAAACCCAGAAAATTGGGATAATGAAGTAACCCATGAATAAGAGACATGAATGGAGATATTTCTTTGCTTTTGGAATCTTGGAATGAAGAACTAGAAGCATGTTTCCAATTATTTCCATTTTATAGCCCAGTGTTTTTCAAGCTTGGCAACTTTAAGTGTGTGGACTTCAACTCCCAGAATTCCCCTCTTAATTAATTTGATTTATATCCTGCCTTTTTAATTTGATTTATATCCTGCCTTTCTATTCAGGGAGCACTCAAAGCGGTCTGAAATATGTAGGTATGCTTGGCAGATTTGACTACATACTACATAAATAGGGAGTGAGCTCATTCCATAATCCTTGCAGTTGCAGTCACATTTACTCTAAGACACTATCCAGTCTTGTAAAGTCGCTTCTACATAAATGTTTAGCATTCAGCAACTTTGAGTAGATATCTAAAAATATCAACAATTTATGTTGCTCTTTTTGTCTGGGTTACTTCTATTTCCCCATAGTAAATGCATAACAGATAAAGGGCAAATCCATACCTCTAAACATTCAGAGACAAGTTCCCACAAGCCAGGCTGACCCAGTTTGGCTTAAGGAAATTTGTCTGTGAGCAGAGATGTCCATCCTAGCATTAGAGAATCTTTAGAGACATATGACAGATCTGTACATTTTGTATTCAGTGCCAGATGTACCCATTAGGCTGTAATGCAGATGTTCAGTATGTGAACTGGTTGCACCATTAGGATTTGTGAAATGACCTTGTAGCTTTGGAATCCTGAAAACATCTCCAAGTTTGGGAAAAGGGAAGTTGTCACTGCCTACATCATAATTTCTTCTTTTAAGTATCCCCAGATCAGTTTGAAAAAGAGCTCATTACATACAAGAGGGCATTATTCAGACATAATGATGTAATTTTGCAAACACATTTGCTTATATGCAGGTGACTTCCTTTTGGGTGAGGGTAGGTGGGGACCTTGTAGGTAAAGCAACACAATTTTGCATTTACTTTATCCCTCTGTCTGAAAAACCCAAAGTTATGCATGCACAATCATTGAAGCTTTGGTGCAGTTGTAACTGTAATCTTACAGACTCTGTTTTGTGTACCAATATTTACTTGAAGGAAAGTAATCCTAAATTTAAGACACCTTCCCCTCATTGCATTAAAGATAGAAAATAAAACTAAAAC